AGAATCGCTTGGCAAAGCTTTAGCTGTTGCGAAATCTCGTCGATGTGTGTTGAGCATTACTGCCCCCTTTCGAACTTTGCCACTCCTATGCTATGGGTTAAATATCTTACGGGCTTTAATTCAAAGGTTATTAATTAGAAATTCAGAGCAACCGCAGGCCAAATCTCACAACCCGAGAGCAGGGTTTTTTTGGATACAGATCCTGAATGAGCATTCTGTCATCGACTGTGTTGTTTTCGGGTCTTTCTTCTATCGTCTTACTGGAGCATTATGCATGCGAAGTATCATCAAAAAAGTACCAAGAAATTTTTTATCTTGAGTGTTTAGAAGATAATATTTTTCTGAAAATAATATTTTTTTTTTCTATTTTCTGTTTAGAAGATAATATTTTTCCATTTTTTTTTTTGTATTTTTCTAATATTTTTTTAATAATATTTTTTTTCTGATGAATTAAGACTCATCAGGAAGCAAAAACCTCAGAAAAATATTCTAAACAATTCCTCTTAGTTGTTGCCATTATGTCCTTCTTCCCATTCAGAGTGTTAATTTAAATTATTTTGAACACGTATGTATTATTTATATTCATGTATATTTATATATTACTACTACAGTCTCATTGTTGGGAATTCTTCCCTTCCATTGAGGTGGTAACCTGTATGATATGCCTCATTTGTTGCGATGTCTTTGCCTATATTGGCACCCTTTCTTCATTTTTGGTAGCATTTTACCGTACAGTTACGCCCTCATCTTATTTGCTGTGGTCCTTCACTATGCGACACAAGAAAATCAAAATTCAGGTAACGTCTGCTCAGTTTTCCACGGTGCCGAACTGTACAGAATGTCTGCTGTAAGTGGTCTGTTACTTCGAAAAGTCGCCCCACCCTCACCGTTGGTGCGGAGTGCTCCGCCCACTGACGGTGAGGCGGAGCCATATGTTCTTGTATCGGCCAGTTGCTGCGTGTACAGTTGAGTGCATGTTACTTGTAATTTGGAGTTTCTCTGCCTCTCCTCCTAGCTGTACCTTTGCCTCCTCCCAGCTGCATCTTTGTCCCCGCTTTCCCCCCAAATCTCAGTCGACATTGTACACACTTCAGCTAATGTGGTGCCTTTAACTTGTGTTCTTTGTTGCTTTCCTGCCACTTGTTCATTTCGGTACCAAAAATTTCTTGGGCAAATTATCTCATGTTGATGACCGGATGTACAAATTTTTTAGCTCTTCCGTTATGTCGAGCGAATTTTTTAGTTTTTCGGTTTGTGCATATTTTTTTTACTAAGACCGGGTGGCTTCAAGATAAATTATCGTTTAGTAATGCAATTTGAAAAGCGATTAATCTCATTCGCTGACGAAAGTTACACGGAGTTTTGCAGGATGCACATGCACAATGCAAATTTGCTGGCGGAGAAGGAACATTCCAGTACATTCGTTGGGGGACAAGAGGGAAGTGCTGAGCCGGTGAGGCAGTTCGGGTTCCATGTGCCCACATGTTGTGGTTACATTCCCCAGATGAATGAATGGTCCGATAATTGGGTGGTACGAAATTTTGCAAATTTTGACATCATAATTTTCCTTTTTCATTTTAATGCATCATGCTAGTGCTAAGAAATTATGGCGAGGTCGTTATACATCTGAGAAAACTAGCTGGAATTTGAAAACCCATAAAATCAAATTTTAGGAGCATAGCCCAAAACCCGTTTCGAATTCATAAACTTTAAATCAGTTTAAGCCTCTGTCTGCACCATGGTCAGAGATTTCACTTCCAAATTCACTGGATAATGGAGCCCTAGAATGAAGCAAGCCGAGAATATGAAGTGTTGTAGAAATTTTGAAGATATAAATAGTGGATACTCTAGGCAACAAGACTGGAAGAGAACGGTGTCTGAAATCTTCTGTTTGTTATTGTATTCAGTTTATTTGGCGTTATTGGCCCATCGCGGAAAGGAACACAATCGAGTTTTGACAATTATGAAAAACTGGAAGTGCCATTTAGATCTCCTAAATAAGCATGAATTAATCGAAGTACCATCATGATGAAAATCTATGTTTGGCTTCTTCACCAAGGTGCTCCAGCAGCATCTTACTGCAAAAACGCATGTGAGGGCTGCTTGATGCGTATCGATATTCTTAATTATTATGAATGAAAAGTGGTACTCCGATACGTCGCAGGATGGTGTTTCGTGCACATAATGGCAACAACAAACAGAAAATATTGGAAAACGTCTCAGGGCGAAAGTACCTAGCGTAGTTATGCTTAAAACCAGGCTTTCTCACATAGTTTGTTGAAATAAGGTAATAAATTTTTAATTTTTATTACATGGTACATAACTCTCCACACCGTTTCAGGAGTTTTTCGCACGTAATCGCCTGAAGTATCAAATTGACCTGCTGCTGGAAGTATGTTTCTGAAGGATTATTGAAAGAAAAAGCTTCATCTTTCATGAATTTATGCTTTTCTAATTTGAGAAACTAATAGCTCTTTGGAGGAACCATTTTTATTACTCCATAACACCGTGGATTATGAAGTTTGGGAATGTTGAAAGCTTGGCAGTGGTAAAATCGTATGCTTGGAGTGGCAAAAAAAGAGCATACAAAATTTATTTCGTCGTTTTTTTTTTTTACTTATTAAACAGCCATGCATTCTACGTTTATATATTGCACGATAAACACGCAAAAAAGCGTCTTGCAAATAATAAAAGAGTGAACAAATCAAAACAGTGACTTTTTTGCAAAGCGTGGGAAAATTGCAAACTACGATTTTGTTGTGTTTCAACAAGGGAAACTGCACACAGTGACTGCTGATAATATTTACTTGAATACTTAAGCAGCTCTATGTCATCGGCGTCCGTGCGTGGAGACCATTCCATTATCCGCTTCGTCCATCTTTTATCTGACATCCGTGCCACATGACCAGCCCAACTCCCCTTTCTGGCGTACATTGCTTCAATAATATCTTTCACGCCAGATCTGGCTCGTGGCACTTCATTCGGAATGTGCTGTAGCTTGTTGGCACGAATCATTCGCCGCTCCATAAATAGAGGATAAATATAGGGCATTTTATAGAGGCTATAAAAATCACTCCAAATTTTGATAGCACAAGAACTGAGGATGTATTGAGCGACTTTAATTAGGTAATTTTAAAGCTCCAACCTATGTGCACAAATACTAGGGCTAGGATCAAGGCGAAAGAAGTTTTTTGAAATTTATTATTTTGCAGAAACGAAGCGACAGAGATTTACTTTCTTTATGGCCTCAGCTGGAGCGAAAAATACCAACATATTTCAAGGACATAGAAACAATTGTTCCTGCAATTGTGCACGGTGATTTATGGTCGGGGAATTACGCATACAGCGAGGATGGTCCAGGTATGTATGTTTTGGAATGTTATTATTTTTGAGTTTCCAACTCATTACGAACGTAAAATTTTCTTTTTCACTTACATGATATTTTAATCGACTCATGTTGTTTTGGCTGGAAATACCTTATCCAGTTGCCGCTGATCTTGGCGTTACTTTTTTTGCACTTTTAATCTTATTTTTGGTTGAAAATGGCAGAAAGGGGGGGGGGGCTTCTACACAAATTATTAACTTTATTATTACCGTAATTGTTATTATCATTATTATTATTATTGTTATTATTGTTATTGTTGTTGTTATTATTATTATTATTGTTGTTATTATTATTATTATTATTATTATTATTGTTATTATTGTTATTATTATTATTGTTATTATTATTATTATTATCATTATTATTGTTATCATTATTATTGTTATTATTGATATAACTTGCTTTGTGATGCACAAGTATTTACATGCTCCATAATTTCAGTGATTTTCGATCCCGCTTCATTTTATGCACATAGCGAATATGAACTGGGTATAATGCAAATGTTTGGTGGCTTTGGTAGTGCTGTTTATTCTGCTTATCATGAGCTGATCCCCGAGACGAAGGGCAGCCGAAAACGTGTACAGTTATACGAATTGTTCCATCATCTGAATCACTGGTTAGTCATTTTGTATTCATCTACAGTGGTACTGGCAATGCGAAAAGTGGTCACTGGGGCGGCTTCCGAAGAGAGGTAACTGAGTGTTAACTGTGGATACACAAAATGGCCTGGGTGACCTCTCTGGCGTGCAATTGCGACCGCATCTCACCGATTTTGGGCTTCACACCGGGAGATTGCTGATAATGTCAGTATTCACTGCAAAATTGCTTGGATTCTCCTAGATAACTACTATAAATACATGTTGAAGATTTTTTTTTCCTGTAAAAAGTTGTTTCGCATTATAAACTAATGCTGAGAAAATGGATTATGAAAGGATTAGAATGGATAATACGTGTCTTAACATTTTTCTCACGTCCTAGCTTGCAGATTATTCGATTACATTTGTATTCTTACATTTGTATTCTTATTCGTCTTTTTCAGGAATCATTTCGGTAATGGCTACAAAAACGGCACAATTTCCATCATGCAATCTCTCTGTTAGAGGCATTGATATGGGCATTTTCAAGCATTCCAGAAGTTTACAAGATCGCCTGGCCTGAATCCACTCTGCACAATGACTATGTAGGGAGCAGAATTTCACTTATGTAGTCTTTTTGTTAGAAGCAGTGAATGCTTACCAAAAGCTTATCATGTTAACTGACTTGTACTCGCGCAATTATTGCAGGCGTAAGCTATTTTTTTTTGTGAATTACTTATGCATCTGGAGAGAACCGAACCACTCCTTTGTTATCGGGACGTGACGTGCTACCCACTACACCATCAGTATTTACGCTGCACATATTTTATTCCGCGGTACTGATGCTGCAGACCACCGATTTTTGCCGAGTTTTGGCGGGGCTTTCGCGATACTTCCATCGCAGAGAATACCGGTGATGAGGTTATTAGTAAAATCTGTGTATGAGGAGGAATCCTAAAATAGACAATACAAATAGATCCGTGAAGGACGAATATGAAGATGGTAATCTGGCTGCTCAGATTGAAGATGAGGGATAAGAGCCAGGAATGAAGGGATCGTTGGGTTATGTTAGTAAAGATAAACTCACTCAAGGGGAAGCTTCACTTCAGTCCCCGCTTGTGCTAGCCTTGCCAACCAACATACGGCACTGGCTAGGACATAGTACATATCCCCCATACTACAAAGCACTACGTGTTTCACTCTTTTATGAGGGATGATTGACTGCTGATGGGATATTAAAAGTTTATGTAGAGCTCATCTTTCATTTTTACAAGACAGACCCCCTAAAACTGGGAGAGCAACCTGTAATATTTTATATAGTTTATTTG